TCTAAGACATAACTATCACAACTAACTATACAAAGAAAAATATGAAAACTCCCTTTAAGTCTAACGAACTATTAACGACCATGTAATAGACTTGAGAAGCTAACATCACCATTGAATTTGTGGGCTTGTACAATCTCCTCTACCTATACTAAGAGTCTAAGACAGCTCGGTGTCGACAATATGTTATTGTATGTTACCATACCCAAAAGGTGTCACGAGTCATACATTGATGTTATAATACCTAAGATGGAAATGGGCAACACCAAATAATACATGATAACACCCCTTATTTTTATTTTTATCGTTTTTTTATGTTTTTTAATTTATATATTTCCAATTTGTTTTTTTATTTATGTCATAATATTTATAATTATCATATAAACTAAATCATAAGTTATAAATAACATTTAAAAAGTAAAAATAAAATTTTAATAAATCCTAAATTAAAAACAAAAACATTTAAAAACCTAAAAACCAAAAAAAAAAAGATGAGAAAAATTATAGTTTTTGACCTAAATTATTCCTCTTCAGTACCATCGCGTATATGATCTGCCAAGTCTTCTCGAAGTTGCTTGTGTTTTCGTTGGTCTTGAATGTCAACAACTCTATGTAAGTATTCTGCTACCCCTGGTTGAAATTGAGTGTGTCTAGGTTCCATAAGCAAATACTCGGTAATGTTTCATCCTTTATCTTCAATTACCATGTTATGCATTATGATACATGCATACATAATGTCTCATAGAGTGTCTAACTTATGTGGTCATGCTGCATGTTCAACTATGTGTCATTTTGTTTTCAGAACTCCGAAAGCACGTTCCATGTCCTAATATGCTCCTTCTTGTCTTTTCTTGAAAAATTTGTCTCTTGGTTCTATCAGGTGTCGAAACGCCTTCACAAACATGGAACATAGTGGATATATTCCATCCGTGGGGTAATACCCGAACTTATACTCATGACCATTTACTGTGAAAGGAGCATCTGGTGCCTTTCCTGTCAAAATGTTCTGAAATATTGGTGAATGATCAAGAACGTTTACGTCGTTGTTAGAACCCGCAACTCTGAAAAAAGCATGCCAAATCCATAAGTCTTGTGACGCAACAACCTCTAATACTAACAGATGTGATCCAAGATGACCACTTGTGTATTGACATTTCCACTTGTATATTGACAATTTCTCCATATCCACTTTGTGCAATAAATGCTTCCAAGCATACCCGAAAAACCATGTTGTTCTTCATGCACCGCATATAGTTGTTGCATGTCATTCAATGAAGGTTTGCACAAGTATTTGTCACCGAAGGTTTCAATAACACCTCTCGCCAAATTATACAAACTTTCTCGTGCAGTTCGTTCGCCTGACATTCTCATATAGTCGACCATAGAATCGGGCGACTCCCCCAAAGCCATAAGCTTGATTGCAGCAACACATTTTTGCAACCCTGTAAAACCTCGTTTACCTCTCGCATCATACCTCATTTCGAAATATTCATTTCATACCTAAACATATATTTAATTTGTAAAAACGGACGTAGTTGTGTTATCTAAAAAACAATAATTTAATAATCTAAAGAACATATATTTAATTTTGTAAAACAAGTTACTTACGGTACCTGCTTTCCATTGCATTCGCTATCTGTTGAAACACATTTTTCCGCAAACGAAACATTCTTTTAAAATCGCTAGGTTGGTAGACACTATCCGCAAAATAATCGTATACTAGACGTCTATGCCCTTCTTCACGATTTCTGTTCAACGCCGCACATCTGGTCAGTAGTGAAGCTGGCTCTAATAGTAGCTTGTCCGTATTATATCGGTACATCATACCCACAAACATATCATCCTCATCGATATCATCATTGTATCGATGGAACGGATCAAAAAGATCCGTTTTTTTAATGAAATAGATTACTAGAAAAGAAAATGAAATTGAAAGAAAATTTGAATTTTTGAAAGAAATTGTTGAGTTTTGTAGGTAAAATTAAGATAAATATTGTGTATTTATATTAGATATAAATAGGGAAAATTATTATTATTATTATTATTATTATTATTATTATTATATTAAGTTTGTGACCGTTTGCAAACGGTCAAAAATGTGATCATTCTCCAAGCCAATTTCAATCGTTTCCCTCGTTACCACCATAACGCCCATTACCGTAACACCTAAAACGCCACCCCGGGACAGTGTAGTCGGCGTTATAACGTCGTGTTTAGCGTGCCATGTTGGAAAACAGGGATGTGCGTTGCTCACTCCCACCCGTCTAATAAAAAAAATAGTTTTCTTTGACATATGTCACCCTATTCGTCTTCCTAATTAATGTAATGTCACTTGTCAATTTATTGATTCTTCATTCCAAATTTCAAATTTCAAAATTTTCACCCTAATTACCTTAAATTAATAACATTAGAATAAAAAATAAAATAAAATTAATACAAATGATATAATTTAACGTATTTATTTGAACCAACGATTATAATTTTATCTAAATAAACGAATATCTTTTAATTAATAATTTATTTAAAATAATTAATTAATAATTTTGAGTTTTTAATATGAAAGCTTAATGAACTTTATAACCATTGTTGTCACAGGTTATAACCTAGTAAATATATATAAATATAAAATACTCAATAAAAATGATTAATTTATATTTTACATATATTTATTGTACAAGCCATAAACTTTACTTTATCCATGTGTAGAAAACATTCTACAAATAAGTGAAAATATGCCAAAATATTCCACGATTGTTAAAGTCTACTTTGAAAACTTTCAACCTTATTATTTAGCTCAAAAATTTTAGATACGATCATACCGGTTTTAATAAATCCGGATCATATTCAAACTTTTCACACTGAAATATATTTGAATGACAATATATAACACTAAAATAATATCTAAAATATTAACAAACTAATATGCTAAAGCATTTTATGTGGTTGGATGGAACAAATTTGGTTCAAATCAATTTGACAAAAATCTAAAACTAAAACCGACTAAAAGTTTTAACTTAGTCAAACAAATTTGGTTCAAATCGATTTGATGTTTGAGGCGATAATTTGTTTTTCAAATTTAGCAAATAATGTATAACAAAAATTTAAAAACAAATGCCAACACAATAAATAATATAGTCACTAAAACACATCATATAATTAAAAATTAAATGAATCATTTATTCATATTAAAAAAAAAGGAGTACATAGCGAAGTGCAACATCCCAAGAAAACATCTAAAAAACTAAATAAAAAATACTTTAGATTTTGTTATATAGTTATATTAAAATTGAAAAAAGAATTTTACATCAAGGTTCAAAATGAAACATATTAGAGTTCTAATGTTATACTGTGGTTTCATTTTCACTTGAACTATGCTTAATGTCTTAGGACTAAAGTAGAAATGATCTTGGACTGCACCCAGTTTGCAACTGGTGTTCGTGTACATAGAGTATGTGACCGATATACTTAGTAGCTGGTACGGTTTGTACTTAAACGGTATATTTCCAAAAAAAAAAAAAAAAGTCAGTTTTCTTGAAAATCTATAGGATCACCAAACGTATACAAAGTGTAGAATAGCAACCAACAAATATATAACGAATCCTTTAATTGCATTTCTACATTATAATCAGTTATTATGTTACCCCAGGCCCCAACAAAAACAAAAGAAGAATATTTATGAATAATCAAATAAAAAAAACAATTCTCAGCTTCAACTTCCATCGTGCTTATAAACTATTCCCTTATTATTGATTTTCCTTCCTGCACATTCACAATCCAGAAAACTAAATTAGTAAAAAGAAAATGCATGATTAATCATTAAATATAGACCTAAAACAATAAGAAATAAGAAAAGATCGATAATTAAACTAACTTACTTGGCTTATTTTTATTTCTAGAGATGGCAATACGAGGAATAAAAACCCCAGTTCCTTTGTTGTTGCTTCCCCACAAGCTTAAAATCGAAGCTGGGACTGAATCACAACCACCCTCATTCCAATAAAAATAATTACTGTTGTGTTTGACTGTTTCATATCTCCGTTTTGTATTCAATGAAGAGCTTGAATATTTTTGGGTGTGGCTCGAAAATTCTTTGTAGTCATGATCATCTATCAATGTTAATACTCGTCTTTCGAGTTCAGCATAAAAAGCATCATCATCATCATGCTCATGGATACCGAGTTCTTGGGCACTGTTGATTATGCCCATGCTTTTGTGAATTGAAGGGATTTGATAACGATGAGGGTTTTGAGAAATTTAAATAAACAGGTATGAAATGGAAGACGAATGATTTGTAGATTCAATTAATGTTTCCATATTCAAAGGGGAATGAATGGTCTTTTAGATTCTCTCCAAATCCATGACTTTTTTTTGACAATATTATGTGACATGCCTTTTGGCATTATATAAAATATGTGCATGCATGCATGCCGTATTAATATTTTTAATATATCTAGTTAAAGTGTGAAACTAATTAAGTATTAATTCACTTCATGGTTATTGGATGGAGGTGACATAATCAATTGAAAACGAACAAAATTGTTAAGTCATGTTTAACTTGTCAACATTTTTTTAATCTTCTCAATTTTGTTGTTTGTGTTCATGTTTAACCGAGTACGTTGGAGGTCTTCGATTGAGGTGTAGATAGTTCTTAATGTGTATGACGAGAATTGTAATATTTTTTTTTAAAGATTGAAGGTATTAAATTAATTAGTTTACTGAGTTGAACTGTAGGTTGACTTTATTTTTCAATGATTTGGTGATTTGGAATTTAGTGTTTGATTAATTTGTCTTTATTTTGCAGGCGTAGACATTAAATATCTATAAACAATTCAATAAACATTAACTTCGGGTATCCTTATCATTCACATTTGAATTCAGTGAGAAGTAATCGTACAAGTTCAAAAAGAAGTCATATGTGACTGTAATTGGGTACACGTAGAGAATGGTTTAAACGTTTAAAATATTAGAAGATATTGTATTATTGTTGTATATTTTTGTATTTTAGGAAGTTAGCCTCAATGTATCTATATATTTGTTTATTGTGTTTAATCAAAATCATCCGGTCATTTTGATTCCTTTATGGTATCAGAGCTCCTCAACCCAAAACCCTATTTCCTCCCTTGACAGCCACGACTGTCATCACCGCCGACAATGCTTGGAGACGACCCAAACTCTTCCAAGGGCTCCGTTCATCCGGTGTATATTGTGACAAACATCCAAAACAAGGTTCGAGTCTTGGATGGAATCAAAGTGACTTACTCCTCATGGGTAAAACTGTTTAAACTCCATGCTCGCGGATATAAGGTATTGTCACATATCGACGGTACTGTGCTGCCGACCAATACCACTCTCGACTACGCACAATGGAGTGAAATTGATGCTATTGTCCTTCAGTGGATCTACGACTCCCTATCTGATGATCTGCTTACTCGAGTCCTGGAGAACGACCATTGCTCATCAAGCATGGGAAAAAGTCAAGCAAATCTTTCATAATAACAAGGGGTCTTGTATAGCAGCCCTTAAACAAGAATTTACAAACCTCACCCTCAAATCCATGAACTCACTCGAAAACTATTGCCATAAGTTGAAAGACCTTGCAGATCAACTATCAGATGTCGAAAGTCCGGTCTCTGAAAATTGTCTGGTCCTCCATCACATCAGAGGTCTTCCACCGGAGTATGATATTGTCGCCGCCTACATCAATCAGACACCACCTGACTAGGATACAACTCGAAGCATGCTCCAATTGGAACAAAATCGTCAAGCTTCTCGTAACAACAACACCACCAGTGATACTGGTCTCACGGTGACTGAAGCCAACGTTGCATCTGATTCATCATCATCGCGACCACCACCAAGACAAACTCGTGGAGGTCGGCCGAACCGTCAATCCTATCAGCCTCTGTGTGGTTCTTATCAACGCGATCATTCAAATCAAAATGGCCCACCTCCATCTCATGCTCGCAATCAACAACTTGTTCCTCGCCCAACTGGTCACGAGAATCCATACAAAACCCCTCCTTGGTGGACAATGATGTCGCCCAATGCCCTTATCCAACCCAACAAGGTTGGCCGTACCCACGATATCCTCCACAACGGTCGTCCTCACAACAAACTCAACAACGCAATCAGCAATCAGATCGTTCCTTCGACGCTCCTCAAGCCAATACAGTCGGCACCTTCAACGCCTTGGAGGCAACTGATATTGGCATTGAGTTTCAGGCTTTATCCATGGATTTACCTAATGATTCCTAATGGTATATGGACACAGACGCTTCAACTAATCTCAAGGCGGACTCAAGTAAACTTCAACACTATTCTAATCATAGTCATATGAAATTTAAGTTTTTCGGAAATGGTCATGATATTCTAGTTCAAGGCACGGGAAAAGCTACCATCATAACCCAACCTTAAATCCTTTCCCTAAACAATGTTTTGTACACACCAAACATAATCAAAAACCTCCTTTCTGTTTGTAATTTACTATTGATAATCATGTTTCTGGTGAATTTGATCCTTATGGTTTCTCTGTGAAGGACCTCAAGAGTGGGAAGATCCTAACACACCACAATAACTTCGGAGATCTCTACCTATTCACCTCTTGACCCACCTCTTGTCATACTCGTCTCTATATCTTCATCAGATTTGTGTCATTTCCGTCTTGGACATCTTGCTGGAAATGTTCTTGATTATTTATGTTTTAATTCCATCATTAGATGTAATAAGAGTTCTAGTAATACTCATTTGCTTTGTCATTCATGTCAAATATCCAAACATAAGCGTTTACCATTTTATGATTCAGGCTCTAAAACTTTATGACCCTTTGATATTATTCACTCTGATCTATGGACCTCCCCACCTCAAAGAAAAACAGGATATAAATATTATATGGTCCTTATTGATAACTTTACTCAATATGTGTGGGTATACCCTCTCAAATTTAAATCTTAAACCTTTACTTGTTTCTCTCAATTTCATTCATTTCTTCAAACTCAATTCCACACTAAAATTAAAAGTTTTCAATGTTATACGGGTGGCGAGTTTGATAACCAAAACTTTAAAAAAATTTCATCCACCCATGGCCTTACATTGAGATTTGCTTGTCCTCGGACTTCTCAAACGAAAAAGCCGAACAAATGATATGTCACCTAAATGAAATCGTTCTTATCTTAGTTACCCATGCAACCTTACCACCCTCCCTATGAGTCGACGCCCTTCATGCAGCCACCTACTTACACAATATCACACCCACCAAAATCCTTCATAACCAAACACCCACATTTATGCTATACCGTTGAGTTGTGCATGTTATCTAAACCAATCTGCCAACCACCACCACAAACTCGATCTACGATACACCTGTTGTGTCTTACTTGGATACCCCGTTGACTACCACGAGTATGGTTTCCTCAATCCCCTTACCGGTAAAATCCACCTCTCTCATCATGTTACTTTTAACAAAACCATCTTCCCATTTGCCTTTTCCACCACGCATCCATCCCTTAACTATCATTTCTTACAAACCGATGCGAATCTACCCACCAACATTAACAAGTTTTCCAATCCACCAACCACCACCACTCTGCTGAAGGGTTTTATAGGTTATAATGTTGGGTTATGAGCATTCTAACACTCCTAAGTGTACATGCAACCCTAAATACCTTGGATCTAT